AAAGAAACAGAGAGACAGAGAACACCACATAGACAGATAGATTGAAAATAGAGAAAAGGGAGGGAGAGACAGGGGAGGGAGGTAAATATGTGACAGGATGTGGTTTCCCTGAGCTTGCAGAACATCGGTATACAGGCATACTTTGAGCATGACCTAAACACACCAAGCTTACAAGTGTGTTTGAGCTCCGTTAGGTGGCGAGGGGGAAGACGAGGCAAACCGCTGGAGCTGCTGCTGCTGCTGTGCCTGTAGAGCTGACAGACGCTCTGGTTTCTCTGTTGCCTGCCAGAGGATTGTGTTTCCTTAAAGCCGGCCAGCTCCACAGCAACCTCTGTCAGCTTGTCGGACAGGATCTGAAGCCGTCCTCCATCCTCTCTTTGTGCTGGTCTCCTTCTAAGTAGAATGTGTTTCTCTGCTGGAATTTTTGGTCCTCTTGCTGCCTTCGCGTCCAAGCAGTGAACTTTTCAACGATATTGTGAAACAGGTAAGTTTGCTTTCTGTTTGCGTGAGAGCTCTTCAGCATGTGTATGAATTTGAACTTCCTAACAGATGTTTTTCTGTACTACCTGGACAGCAGCCACTGTAAACTTGGACTGCATGGTGGCAATTGTTTACAACAGACAGTTGATTCATTAGACAATGCCACAAGCCACAAGTCACAAATTTGGCTTCTGTGTTCAACAAGAAGTTCTTAATTCACTGCTACCACATACACATGTTCACACATTCACATGCTGACAAACACACACACACACACTCTGGCTGTGCTTCATGCACATCAATAGGTCTGGTTGTTTTGAAGTAACATGTATGACGTATGGTACAGAATGCCAAAAATGTCTACCTGGATCCAATCACAGACCGAACCCTGACAGTGTTTCAGTGCCCGGCGTACAGTATCACACCACTCCCACTAGATACAGGGGAGTGTGTGATTTGTGAGCTACTGTACTGAAGGGTAAACGTGTGGGTTTCCCTGTGTGTGTTTTTCTGTTGAGCAGCATGCGTGCTGATATGTCCTTGTCTGTCTGTACAAGTGAATGTTTACATGCTTAGACTATGTGCTCTGGTACATGGGTTCATCCAAGCATGCTTGCGTGTAAGGAGGTTTAAAGGGAAAAACAAGTTGAGCGATGGCAGGAGGTGAAGGAAGGGCGGGGGGATGTCAGGGAGGAGGAAGACGAGGGCATGAGAGAAAGGAAAAGCCAGGGGAAGAGGAGAAAAGAGCGTGTGTGTGTGTGTGTGTGGAAGAGAGAGAAAAAGTGAGTGAGAGAGCTTCGTCTGACTGAACTGCTTTTAATTAGTTCCAGCTGGTGAGCTGTGGAGCGTCGGGCTGCGTTAACTCTGCAGTGTTGGTGGGTCAGGAGTTCTCTCTGTCTGAGTCTGTCTGTCTCTCTCACACATATACGCACAGGAAAACATACACAGATAAACACACATGCAAAAACATTAAAAAACAAAATCACCCAAAAAGCTCACAACATATGGTCAGCATCACAAATGCAAACATTGAAACATGATATACACAATTTCACATGCATACAAGCAACACAAACACAAAAAGACACCACACGCAACAGCATCACACGATGCAAATTAGCTTCACGAAGACACTTGTAAACACAAAAAGAGCATAGCAGATGTAAAACGGCCATGATTGTACAGGAAACACAGCAGTTGTTACGATCGACTGTGACTCGCTAACAAAAGCGCACTATAAATACAGTGTACACACAAATGCACACATGCAAAGAGAAAAATCCGCCATGTGCCATATGTCAAGTGTGTACATCAAAGGGTAAATGTAGTGAATACATGTAACATGCAATGAACACATGCAGTACCACACGTGCACACATAGGCACACACACACTTCTCCATAGAAAGCCTCCATAACACAGCAGCTGGGCTATTGCAAATGTGCAAGTGATTGTGGTTTGGGCTTCGCTACACTCCAATGTCACGTTGAATCATTATGCAGTGCAAAAGGTGAAGAAACCATTATGTTAAAGGGTTAATGCGCCCAAATTATAAAAAAACACATTTTCTTACTTATCTCTAATTAATGCAGCCATGCAGATGCAGACCTGGTTTATTTGCCCCGGTTTGAGATATTTATCTCTGTGATTTCTGCCTCCAATCCCAATACAATGGAGGTGTGTGACATTTAATCTGTGGTTATTTAAAAATGATGTACCACTATCTTACAAGGCATATATTAAAATGTGTTTTTAAGTTGTAACTAAAGGTTTTATTAATGGTTAATAAATTGATCGATGAATAATAAAATAATAATATAATTTCCCTCTGGGA